ATATATAAATTATAAAATAGACATGCCGCAACGTGCAAATATAGTCACGTAAATATAAATATATGAATATAAGCATGTGTGAATGTGTATATAAAATCAAACTACTATCTAGTTGAACATGATCAAATAAGGCCTGTTCCTGTTTAGCTCGCTAAATAAATGGATTTCTAAAAGCTAGTTGAACACAAACTATTAATCAGGCCAAACAAAATCAGACACAAACAACATGCTTTTTTTTTCCTATCAACCTTAATCTGATTAACAGATTTTGATATAGCTTTGATCATATTATCCAGAAATTAGGGGGATTTTGAATTCAAATCCAACAGAGAATTTAGGCTTCGTTTGGGACAATTTTGCCCCACTATTAGATTTATTAGATTTAAATGAGAATTTGATTTTTTTCAGGACACAATGGAGAAAAAGCATTCATGTAGCCGACCCCACGTAGTGGGACAAAGGCTTGATGTTGTTGTTGGGACGACTTTCTTGTTGCTTCTTAAAGAAGCTTTCTAGTATGAAATTTTTAATTTTTGTACTAAAAAACTACTTTAAGAAGCAACAAAAGAGCAGTCCCAAACGAAACCTTAGGCTTTGTTTGGAATGGCTTTCTTATTACTTCTTAAAACAGCTTTGTAGTAAAAAAAAGTTAATTTTTGCATTAATAAGTTGTTTTAAAAGTAAATATGTTTTATTTGGGACGGCTTTTTTGCTACTTCTTAAAACAGCTTTCTAGTACAAAAATTTTACTTTTTATACTAAAAGTTGTTTTAAGACGCAATGAAAAAACCATCCCAAACAAGGCACAAAGTCTCAAATTCCTTGATTACAGCTTTCTCTTAAGAAATTTCCCACCGCAGCTCTGCAAGAGGCAGCCCAAAACGCCAGCAGCTATTAGACAAAGTCGGACACTGTCAGGTCATTTCCTTATCCAATCCATTCCAATCAAATGTAGAACCATTGTCATTCTGGCTTATATTGCAAGTTCTTGCTCAAGCTCTCTCTCACCTCACATTTCATTGCTCTCTTGGTGCGCGATTATTGATGCAGGTTCCTTATTTAGATGATCCTAATACTGGAGTTAAGATGTTTGAAAGTGCTTACATCATTGAATATCTCAGAGAAACCTACGCTCTTGAGAAGTAAGTTCTTCTGCACCCATTAGATTGAGCTTTTACCATACACATTGTCAAAAATTCATCAAAAAAGAAATTATTATATGATATAAATTACTTATTACTGAAATATTGTGTTGTTGAAATGTATCATCACTTACATTGTAAGGTGTGAAGCTCATTAATATATGATTGATTGTCTTCAATCTTCTCATGTTTACATTGTAAGCAAAAATATTGCTTAGTTGAAGATCTAAAGCATTCATTCACTTTAGCATGAATAAAATTAGTGACATATATGATTTTTTTAGGATCATTTGAGTCATTCATTTGAAGTAGGGTTGTGAGCTGAGTCGAGTCGAGTTAAATATATATCTAATCGAGCTGGGTTCGTT